CTTCCCCTGACTATACCCTCTCTAGGGGGTCCTGCCCAGTCTCCTGGCTTTAAATACCATATCTGTGCCCTGTTCTCTCAATAATTCTGTCTCGCCAGCCTATATGGATGGCAAACAGACTTCAGACACTTAACATGTGCAAATAAGAGCTCTTGACACCCTGCCAACTATTTTTTTCTCCCTTCTCCAAACCTGCCACACCCACTCCCCATTTTGCCTATAACCATACACAACACCTCCATGATCAAGACTTGAAAGAAAATATTCTTATAGTAATCATTCATTTCTTAAGTTTGTTTACCAACTGCCTTCAATGCATCAGCAAGTGATGTCTCTTCTCTTTCCAGAATGTCACGTGACCCCATTGCACTATTCTCCAAATTCATGCTGCCAGTCTTGGCCCAGTCACTGCCATCTCTCAGCTGGACTACTGCAAGAGGGTCCAAATTGGTCTCCTCACTTTCCTTTGTGCTCTGCCCACTTGCAATATTTTCCACAGAGAGCAGCCAGCGAGAAATTATTGAATATAATTAGGTCATGGCACTCCCTTGATTCAATCCTCTCTCTGGTTCCCCAGAACACTTTTGAGTAAAAACAAAACTCTTCATCATGGCTCCTTCCCACCACTGCACCCTCTTCTTGTCCCTCCACCCCGCCTCTCACTGGGCTTCAGCCACACTGGCATCCTTTCTGCCCCTCCGGCACCCCAGTTTTCTGTCACAGGCCAGGGGGGACTGTAGTTCTCTCCCTGCTGGGCAGGTTCTTCGCCTGGTTCCTGGCAGGACTGACCACTTGTCATTGTCCTCAGGAAGGCCATTCCTGACCTTTGCCACTTTTTTGGGGGGAGGTGGGGCGGGGGGGGGTTCTAGGTAATGCGTACCAAACCATCTTGTTTATTTCCATGAGGGCATTCGTAGCAACCTTTACATGCTTTCATATTTTCTGATGTGTTTATTGTCTGTCTTCCCTACTAGAAAATAAGCTCCCTGATTACAGGGACCTTCTGCCTAGAAGAATGCCTGGTACAGCATAGGCCTTCCCTAAATACTTGCCAAATCATTGGATGAATGAGATGAATAACACTTCCTCCCGCAAGAAAGAGACCTCTCCCTCCCTCCACTGATGCTCCACAGGGCTCATCATTTTTGCCTCTGTCACAGTGCCTAGTAGTCAGAACATTTTTGATTGTAGATGGCAGGGACTGGCCAGGAATGGACTAAAACAAGGAGGGGCCCCCTGGAGGCCTCTGTGGGAAAGGACTTGGAGAGCGTTCCCTAGCTGCTCTCCTTGTCACTTAGTGACAAGTCATTTAGTAGCCCTGTTCCTGTTGCTGGAGGTTCAGGGGCCTAGGGATTGTCTTCAGGTTTGACAGGTTTGGGAATTTGCTGGCCATAGCATGACATCCTTGAGCCTCTTTCTCCTGCTGTTTCACTGATTTCTGTTGGCTCTGTGGGCTGGAGGTCGAAGTCAGAGAAAGAGATGTTGGTGAGCCCTGGTCCTTGAATGGGTCCTGCTTGGCATTTCTGTCTCCAACAACGGGCCAAGAAATTCTTCTCATCAACTGCACATCCGCTACCCCCCAGAAATCATGGCTTCCCCCTGGCCTCTTCCTCCTCGGGTCCCTCTCGGATGGCCACTGGAATGGTGAGGCACCGCTCATCTGCCTCCTGCCTACAAGCAACCTAGACCCCCAAGAGATGGCTCTTAACAGCAGTGACAGTGATCACCTTGGTCAAGCACTGGCTATTCAGCAGGCTTTTCCTACGTCGCTGTCCTTCTCCTTTGTTGGCACTAGCCCTGTCTAGGGGCAGTAGGGGGCTGGATCTTGCAAGCTGGTGAGGTACATATCTGTGTGTCTGCTTCTCAGCCACCTTGGGATGCTTTCCAGCCAGCGATGGGAAAGTTCTCACTGCCTCATACCCCACAGTGACTCGGTCGGTTCCGCAGGCTCGGGGGCTGTTCTGTCATGTGCAACCGCCTAGGTCCAGCCAACACTGCCACCACAAAAAAACGGCTTTATTTACCCAAAGAAGGTGGATGGGCAGGAATGAGGGGGAGGAGAGAACATGTGCTGGGCAGATGGAATTCCATGGCCACCATAGTCCAATCAGATAGCACCTATTGCCTTCTGCTGGCATATCTGTGATTGGTGTGGACAGCCTGAACTTGAGTGGAGTGAGATGTCCTGAGGGTTTGATCATTTTTTTCTTTATATCTGAGCCCAAATCCCACGCAGTTCAATGCCTGGCTCACAGCAAGTGAGAAACTCCTATTTATGGGAGGAAAGGAAGGACAGAGAGTGGGGTTGTTCTGACTCTTTTGGAACTGGTCACATCTGACTGTCTTTTTGTTCTACCATCTCTGTCTCAGTTGTGTGTAGGGGAGGGCACATGCACATTTATATATGCATTGATGGGGGCTTTTTCTGCCCGGTTTTATTGCGATATAATTGACATATAACATTGTATAAAGTTAAGGTGTACAACACAATGATTTGATAGATAGATAGATAGATAGATAGATGATACAGGTATACAGATAGAGATATATAGAGATATTACCACAGTAAGTTTAGTTAACATCTATCACCTCACACAGTTGCACATTTTTTTCTTGTCATGAGAACTTTTAAGATCTACTCTCTTAAGTACTTTCTGTATTGATGTTTAATTTGTACTCTTTCTAAGGATCTGATGACACCGATTCCCTCCCTGAACATGCTGAGTAGTGCCTGTGAGCTTGGGTACAGAGTCCAAGCACCTTAGCTTGCTTTTCAGGGCTCCACACCTTCCAGCTCCATCTCCTCCATGTGCTCTTGGAGACCATGATCTCTGTCCACGCCAGATTATTGGGCATGACCAGAAGTGGCTTTGTGTGTGCTAGCATGCCACAGGGCCTTGGCACAGACTAACCCCTCTGTTTGGAATGCCTTCTTTCCTGCCTCCACACGGTGGACTCATCTTTCAGAGCTCATCTTGGGGCTTTCATCTTCTGTGCAGCCTCGCTTGACTCCTACCAGGAAGAGTTAGTGGCTGGGTGCTCCTTTCTGGAGCAAGTGGGACCCTCGCTTCTGTTACACTCTACTCTAATGGTTGCTCACTTGTCCATCCCCTCAGCATTTGGCCCTGTGTGGCCTCTCTGCTTCCACAACACATACTGCTCACCTTTTCTCACCCAGCCCCACACCTCCAACACATCAACACTCCCTGCTCACTTATCACATGGCCTGTCCCTTAGCTCCCAGTGCCAAGTACTTGATGAGGCTTTCACAAGTATTAGCCGATGACCTGGGACCAGGCACCTCATTCTAGAGATTTCAGGTTTTGTTTTTGTTTTGAACATGGATGTGTATTTCTTGGTTCATGTTGACAACCTTAGCACCTTGAGGGTAGAGCCAAGAACAAACAAGTGCTTGGCTCTGGACCAGGCCCTGTCCCCAGCCCGTGGTTTGGCTTTCCTCAGGGTATCATGGAAGACAGCACTAAGGACAGGGTGCTCTTGATTCCCCCTCTGTTGGGCTGCATGTATGGAGGCTGGGTGGGTGGGAAGAAGAACTGGGGGCGGGGGGGACGCGGAAAAACCCCAGGTCTCTAGTTCTCCGGTAGTCTGGAGCAGGGACAGGGTTTCCAGCCCAGACTGTCTGTTCCCAAGGACAAGCTCAAAACCAGCTTATGTCTCCTGCTTCCCAGACCCCTGTATCCCTAGGGACCGGCACAGGCTCCATAAATATTTGTGGCATGGCATTATGAATGAATGAATACGTGTTCTTTATTCCCTCTCCTGCAAGTGTTGCAGAGGAGGGAAAGAGCTGGAAAAAGGCGGGGGGGATTCTCTGAGAAAATGGGTCAGCAGGCTGCAGGGGGAGCTTGCCCCACTGGCCCCAGCTCCTGCTCAGAGAAGGTGTTGTGTCTTTAGGGGTGGCGGTGATGTTGGGGAGTGTGTGTGAGCGGAAGTGGGGAGAACCCCTGGATGTGAGAAACCCATTTTTCTCGGCTTTGTTTTAGGCCAGGCAAGTGTATTCTCCATGCCACCCACCCGCTCTCGCAAGGTACTTGATTTAATCATTTTAAATGTTCTATGGGGAGAGGGGGGATAAAACAAAACCCTCTAAATCTAACCCGTATTCCCGCAGTCCACAGTGGAACCCTTTTCCTGCCTTCCTCTTCATAAATATCCAGGCAACCTGAGAGGCTGTGGACTCACCCCCGCCCCCTTGCCCCCCCCCCCCGCCCCAAGGCTCCCGCTCCCGCCCCCTCCCACAGCCCGCGGCCCCACAGCCCCGCAGCAGCCGCAGGGGGAACCAAAGAGACAGAAGCCTTCCCAGCTGCCCGGACCACAGACGCCAACACCCCCCGCCCCCCACCACACGCCGCCCGCCCGCCCGCCCGCGCCCCGCACGCTAGCCCACGACCGAGCGGCGGCGGCAGCAGCAGGCTGCAGGCTGCGGCGACTGGCACCGGCGCGCTCCTAGCAGCGCTCGCTTGCTATCCCAAGTGACTTGGACTCGCCAGATCGGCTGGCCCCGGGTCCCGGCCCCAGCTCCCGCTCGCGCCCCCGGCCCGGGTTCCAGCGCCCACCCGCCCTCCTGCACTTTCCCGCCTCTCCGCCCCCCAGCTCGCGGGAAGGGAGGTCGCGGCAGCGGCCTGGCGGCACCGGCGACCGTGGCGACAGCGGCGACAGTGGCGGCGGCGGTGGCGGCAGCGGCTGCGGCGGCGGCGGAGGCTGCGGCGGCGACCGTGGCAGAGGCTGTGGCGGAGGCCTCCGTAGCGGAGGCGGAAGCAGAGGTGGAGGCTGAGGTGGAGGCCGAGGCCTCAGTAGAGGAGGCAGTGGCGGAGGCCACCCGGGGGGAGGCGACGGCCGCCCTGGCAGAGGGGGAGGAGGCGGAGGCCGCCCTGGCGGCAGCGGTTGTGGAGGCCAGCGCGGCCGAAACCACCGCCGCCGCCGCCGCCGCCGCCGCAGCAGCAGCGGAGGCTGCGGCGCCCTCCTCGGGGGAGGCGGATGCGGATGCGGATGCGGAGGTGGCGGCGGCGGTGGCTGCGGCGGCGGCGGCGGCGGCTGCGGATGCGGATGCAGATGCGGATGCGGAGACCAGCCGGGGCTCCGAGGGGAACCCAGACTTTCCTATGGCCTCGCTGTACGTGGGCGACCTGCACCCTGAAGTGACAGAGGCGATGCTGTACGAGAAGTTCAGCCCGGCCGGGCCCATCCTCTCCATCCGCATTTGCAGGGACAAGATCACCCGCCGCTCGTTGGGCTACGCGTACGTCAACTACCAGCAACCGGTGGACGCCAAGCGGGCCCTGGAAACCCTGAACTTTGATGTCATCAAGGGCAGGCCCGTGCGCATCATGTGGTCCCAGCGGGACCCCTCGCTCCGCAAGAGTGGGGTGGGCAACGTCTTCATCAAGAACCTGGGCAAGACCATCGACAACAAGGCGCTGTACAACATCTTCTCGGCGTTTGGCAACATCCTGTCCTGCAAAGTGGCCTGCGACGAAAAGGGGCCCAAGGGCTACGGGTTTGTGCACTTCCAGAAGCAGGAGTCCGCAGAGCGGGCCATTGATGCGATGAATGGCATGTTCCTGAACTACCGCAAAATTTTCGTTGGGAGATTCAAGTCGCATAAAGAGCGAGAGGCCGAAAGGGGAGCCTGGGCCAGGCAGTCCACCAGTGCTGACGTCAAGGATTTTGAGGAAGACACCGATGAGGAGGCCACCTTGCGATGAAGACACGCCAGGAACGAGCCAGCCAGCAGAGCCAAACCTTGGCTCCCACCCGGTTTACAACCCCCCTCTTTGCCCCCCTAACCCACCAGCAGTGTATTGTATTGTACTGGGAGTGCAGGTCTCTCTCTGTCTGTCTGTCTGTCTCTGTCTCTCTGTCTCTCTCTCCCTCCCTCTCCCCTCCTTCCCTCTCCACCCCTTCCCCCTCTCCCTCCCCCCTCTCCCCCCTCACTCCTTCTCCCTCTCTTCTTCCCTCCTCCACCCCCCCTTCTGCTCTCCCCACCTCTCTCCTCCCCCCACACCCACCAAGGGCCTGCCAATAATCTTGCTAATCTGTGCCACTTGATAGATTACAGGCTGCCTCTTCTCCTTGTGGTTTGGTTTTAAAAAACACTTTCGTTCTCTCTTCGTTGGCTACACAGGTGATACAGTTTCATGGTAGAAACATCAGAAAGGAGAAGGAAATCAGATGAGGGAAAACCAAGAGAGTAATTGTTCCCCATGATCCTACTACCCAGAGACAACCACGTTTTGGTGTGCTGTTTTTCCAGGCTCTCTACTCTCCCTCTGTCTCCCTCCCTTCCTCACTCCCACCCCACCTTCCCTTTTAACTCACTGTTATAGAATGGTACATGTGTGTGGTGTTTCTTAACCTGCTTCTTCAAAACTAAAACCAAACAAAAATCAACCCATTGAACTTCTTCCCATGCTATTCAACAGGCTTCCGAAATGTCATCTTCAGTGCCTGCAGAGTGTATCGATGGATCTTTAACATTTCTGAATCAATCCCGCATTGTTGGACATTCAGGTGGTGCCTAGTTCTTTCCTTGTGTTTAAACCCAACACTGCATACTCTGATGAATGAATCCTTCCTTGTCAAGCCAAATCTTCGCTAGCCTACCGGATGGTCTTCTTAACTGTGGACTTGCAGGATCCACAATAAAATATCCTTGCAGGATATTTTAAAGACTTTTCCTGTGTGTTGCCAAATGGCCCCTTCATAAGCATTGTACTGATTTGCATTCATGCCAGCCAGCGCAGCTAGTAAAAAGAGTATGTCCATTTCCCCTGCATAGTCTCCTGGTCACTGTAATTGATGTGTGTGTGTGTGTGTGTGTGTGTGTCTGTGTCTGTGTGTGCGTGCGTGCATGTGCGTGTCTTGGCCAGCTTGATGGGCTGCAAATGGTATTTCGCTGTTTGGGGTTGTGTTACTGGATGTAAATGCTCTTTATCACCTCTTTTTCCTGTGCCCACTTCCTGCCCTTTTTTCCCCATTGTCAGAAAAATCATTCAGCTTCATTGCAGGGAAAAATTAAAAAGCAGACAAGTTAACAGAAGAAATTTAATGTCCCCCCTAATCAATTCTAATCACCAGCCATAACATTCTGAAACATTTTCATCCATATGTCTGTAATATTTTCCAAGAACTACCTGAAACATTTTTGGCTGTACCTCTCTAGTATTTTTTTGCATATGTCATATATGTATATAAGAATGTATATACTGTTTTTATATCTGCTTTTTCACAGAAAAATGTGTGTGTATATATGTTTATACACACATACTCTTTATTTCATTTCATGTCATTAAAGTTACTTTTAAAAATATTTTCTCTGGCTGTTAATATAACATTGAATTGACGACTCAATAGATGGACAGAGGCATTAGGTATATGTGCATATATATCCATGTCTCTATGTCTGTTAGTGTCCATGTGAGTATATATATTTTAACTGTTTCCTAATTGTTTAACATCTAGTTTGATACTTCTTTTCCTTTATCCAAAGTAGCCAAAATCATCATAGTGCACAATCTTTGCTGACTTTCAAGATAATTTTCTGAGAAAAAAATACTGCTGAAAGATAAACTGAAGTTGCAAAGATTTGGGCTGACCTTGTCAGGTTCAGCAGTACTGTAACAGGACCCAGATAGCTATATTATTTTCTGCTCTTGGTATTGCAATCATTTCTGTATTTCCCTAATATTTTCTCAGGGAAGCAAGAGCATTTGTTTTTATTTATTTTAAATACTTTTAATGCAAATCATATATGATTATAATAGAAAATATTTTTTGAAAATGTTAATTTGACAAAATAAAGTAAAAATTCTAATATCATTCCTAATACCACTACTTTACAAAATACATTTAAAAAAATAGATATCTACATACTTTTTAAATACAATATGAACTCTCGTTGGGGGATATTTTCCCTATAACAATTTTCTGGGATCATATTTCTGAATCATTAAATATTCTCTTAATTCTATTGTTACACAATAGTCCATTGTGGGATGAGCTATAATTTCTATAACCAATCTTCCTTGGGGTATCTTTTAAAATGATTCTTTTACTTGTAAGATCAATTCTATGATGAACACCTTTGCACCTGAATGTCTTGGAAAATTTTATTGCTTTCTAGTCCTTGCTATAGGAATTTCAGAGTGATAGATATGGACATGTCAAATGTTTTCTTGGTTTTTGCCATATGTTTCTCCCTTAAAGATTTTATCAACCAGTAATGTAAAAGAGAGCACATATTTCTGCTGAGTTTCTTAAATTGGTCAAAATGCTTTTTTTTAACTTTTATAAAATTTAAATGGATTGTATATTTTTTTATTACTTCATGTTACAAGTGCATTTTTAAGACATGAGATCAAGCACACTAAAATATAAATAAGAAGCAGTTGAGACATACTATTTTATATACTTTTACAAGCTGTATCTACCCATAAGCATTTTATTTTTAAAGTTTTTATTTTAAATCCATTTAGTTAACATACAGTGTTATATTAGTGCCAGGTGTACAATGTAGTGATTCAACACTTCCAAACAACACCCAGTGCTCACCACCACAGATGCCCTCCTTAATCCCCATCACCTATTTAACCCATCCACCCACCCACCTCCCCTCTAGTAACTATCAGTTTGTTCTCTATAGTTAAGAGTCTGTTTCCTGGTTTGTTTCTCTCTCGTTTTTTCCCTTGGTAATTTGTTTTGTTTCTTAAATTCCACATATGAGTGAGATAATATGGTATTTGTCTTTCTGTGGTTGACTTACTTTGCTTAGCATTATATTTTCTAGCTCCACGCATGTCATTGCAAATGGCAAGATTTCATTCTTTTTATGGCTGAAAAATATTCCATATATATATCACATCTCTGTCTATTCATCAATCAATGGACATTTGGACTGCTTCAATACCTTGATTATTGTAAATAATGCTATTATAAATATAGGGGTGCATATATCCATTTGAATTAGTGTGTTTGTATTCTTTGGGTAAATGCCCAGCAGTGCAATTGCTGGGTCTAGGGTAGTTCTATTTTTAACTCTTTGAGGAACCTCCATACTGTTTTCCACAGTGGCTGCACCAGTTTGCATTCCTACCAACAGTGCACAAAGATTCCTTTTTCTCCACGTCCTCAGCAACACCTGTTGTTTCTTATGTTGTTGATTCTAGCCATTCTGACAGGTGTGAGGTAATGTATCATTGTAGTTTATTTCCTTGATGATGAGTGATGTTGACCATCTTTTCATGTGTCTATTGGCCATTTGTATGTCTTCTTTGGAGAAATGTCTATTCAAGTCTTCTGCCCATTTTTAAATTAGATTATTTTGTTTTTTGGTTTTTAGTTGTATAAGTTTTTATATATTTGGAAACTAATCTTTTATCAGATATATCATTTGTAAATATCTTCTCCCCTTCCATAGGTTGCCTTTTAGTTTTGTTGATTGGTTCCTTTGCTGTGCAGAAGCTTCTTATTTTTATGTACTGCCAATAGTTTATTTTTGCTTTTGTTTCCCTTTCCTCATGTGACATATCTAGAAACAAGTTGTTAAGGCAATGCCAGAGAAATTACTGTCTGTGCTGTTTTCTAGGATTTTTATGGTTTCAGGTTTTACATTTAGGTGCTTAATCCATTTTGAATTTATTTTTGTATATGGTGTTACAAAGTGGTACAGTTTCATTCTTTTGTATGTAGCTCTCCAGTTTTCCCAGGACCATTTATTTATTTATTTATTTATTTATTTTTACTGAAGAGACTGTCTTCCCTATTGTATATTCTTGCCTCCTTTATCATAGGTTAATTGACCATATAAGTGTGGGTTTATTTCTGGTGTCTCTATTTTGTTCCATTGATCTATGTGTCTGTTTTTGTTTTAGTACCACACTGTTTTGATTACTACACTTTCGTAGTATGTCTTGAAATCTGGTATTGTGATAGCTTTATTCTTCTTTTTCAAAATTGCTTTGGCTATTCAGGATCTTTTGTGGTTCCATAAAAATTTTAGTGTTATTTGCTCTAGTTTTGTGAAAAATGCAGTTGGTATTTTAAAAGGGATTACATTGAATCTGTAGATTCCCTTGGGTAATGTGAATATTTTAACAATATTAATCCTTCCAATCCACGAGTATGGAATATCTTTCCATTTGTTAGTGTCTTATTTCTGTTATCAGTATTTTATAGTTCTTGGAGTATAGGTCTTATCTTCTTTGGTTAAGTTAATTCCTAGGTATTTTATTATTTTTGATGCAGTTTTAAGTGGTGGTGGTTTTTTTAAATTTCCCTTACTACTACTTTATTATTACTCTATAGAAACAGTACCAATTTCTATGTATTAATTTTGTATCCTGCCACCTTACTTAATTTGTTCATTACTTCTGGTAGTTTTTTGGTGGAGTCTTTGGGATTTTTTATGTATATTATCATATCATCTGGAAATAGTAACAGTTTCTTTTTCTTTATCAATATAGATACTTCTTACTTCTTTTTCTTGTCTGACTGCTGTGGCTAGGACTTCCCACACTATTTTGAACAAAAGTGGTGAGAGTGGAAATTCCTGAACTTAGAGGAGAAACTGACAGTTTTCACCATTTAGCTGTGGGTTTTTCATATACGGCCTTTATTATGTTGAGGTATGTTCCTTCTAATCCCACTTTGTTGGGTTTAATTTAACCCCATGAATGGATGTTAAATTTTGTCAAATGCTTTTTCTGCA